ATTGCTTATTTAAAGTATGTGTTGTGCTTCACTTGGGGGTTGGGGATTTAGCTCAGTGGTAGAGCGCTTACCTAGCAAGCGCAAGGCCTTGGGTTCAGTCCTCAGCTCCAAAAATAAAATAAAAAACGTATGTGTGTGTGTGCACATTGGTGGGGGTGCATGAATCACAGTGGAGGTCTGAGAACAACTTTTGGAGAGTTGGCTCTCTCCTTCCATTTTGTTTTGAGGCAATATCTCTGTTTTTGTTACTGTGCTAGCTGAGCTGTAAGCTTCTGCCTGATTCTCCTGTCTCTACCTCCCATTTCTCAGTAGGCGTGTGGGGATTACACCTGGGTGCCACTGCATCCAGTTTTTAAGTGAATTCCAACAGTTGGACTCAGGTTGTCAGGCCTATGCAGTTTTTAATTGTTGAGCCATCTCTGGGGCTCCTCAGTATTTTAGAAATCTCTCTCTGTCTCTCTCCCTGTGTATGTGTGTGTATGGAGGAGGAGGTCTTCTGTGTGCACACACAGAGACCAAAGGTAGGTTATATCTCTCATTCTCTGCCTATTTCTACAGCTTTTTCGGGGGAAGGGAGCTAGGCATCCTCTTGTCTGATCCCAATAGTGCTGGGGTGACAGACCCTCATAAGACCACGCCCAGCTTATTACATGAATCCTGGACCCAAGCTTAGGTTCTCATGGCTATGTGGCACATGCTTTTAACCACTAGGCAATCTCTCCATCCCCAACAATCTGGTCTTGAGGGTGAAATTTGGTCTAGTGTATAAAATTTGGTCTACTAAACTTTAGGCTCTCTTATGACTACTATGTCTTCTCAATTATGACCGAGATATCTAACCACTGAAGGAATTTTTAAAAATTTGAGACAGGAACTCATGTAGCCCAGCGATGCTTGACTTCACTGTATAATAGAGGACGATGACCTTGCAATTATTTTTTCTGCAAAATGAACTCTGTGATGAGAAGAGAGTTCATTTCTGAATGGCATAAACAAATGAACAGATTATTTCCTGGATGCAATAGATGAGAAATCTGACAGTAGTGTGCATAATGGAGAACTTGGATGTTCCACTTATCCCTGGGATAAATATATGGTCACATTAAAGCTCATTAAATCAATCCTATTTGTAATCTTGTGTCACACTGAAACCATTGCTCATGACTGGTCACCACAATGGTAACAGTACTTCCATTATTTTCTGCCTGCTGCCTCCTTTACATCATCTCATTTAATGATCACAGTGACCCCTGTGGCATAAATAAGCAGTCCAATTCCCTTTGCAAATGAGGAAACTGAGGGTTAGCAAAGCGAAGCCCCTTAGTCAAGATGCCATTGTTAGTATAGTAATCAACCCAGCTGCAATTTCTCATCACGCCCATTTGACCCCAAAGCCCGTGTGTGCTCTAAACCAGTACATTGTTTTAAATTGAGTCACAGTTGGACAGAAATTTGTTATTACCTTCATAATGAACACCATTTCTACTTCTATAGTTCTGCCCATTGAAACTTTGCTACTGACGGATAACGCAAAGGAAACATTGTGTCTAAAAATAAAGCTTGGGGCTTGGAGAGATGTCTCAGTGGTTAAGAGCCATGGCTGCTCTTCCCAAGGATCCACATTCAATTCCCAGCACTCACGTGGAGGCTCACAACCATATATAACTATATTTTCAGGGCATACAACACCCTTTTCTGTTCTCTGTGGGTACTCAACACAAAGGTGAAACCCAGACTTGCAAGCAGGCAAAACACCTACATACAGAAAGCAAATGTCCAAAAATAAAACTAAAGTTCAACATGTATATGTAGTTTTCTATGAATATTTTTACTAGATTACTTATGTAATGCAAATACTATTCTTCTGAGAGAGATCACCAGCTCTCAAACTTGAAGCCCATCAGAATCACCGGTGGGAGGATCTTATAAATAGGGACGTGAACACAACAGGCCCAGCCAGACTGAGTCTCCTGTGGATGGGAGGCAGCTGATGCTGAATGACCTCACAGGGTGGCTCTGATGCTCACACAAGTCTGAAAACCACTACCATCTCTCTGTGCATGAGAAGACTTCCTTTTAGGAATGATAATTCTCAGGGATGCATATTTACTTGGCACTTCACAGGAAGCTTGGGAATGACTTCATTATAACTCATAATTCTGAATCACCATATTACCTGCACTACAACTGTCAGTTGGCAAATCTGTGGCATGACTTACTGTAATGGAATGTATTGTCATCTAATTTTCATATTTCTGTTGGAATTTGTGTATTAACAATAGCTCACATTTGCTTTTCATCCTTTTCACTTGGCATGTGAAAAAATGATGGTTGCTTTTCCAGTAACCACTATTAATAAATCTGGAGCAGGTGAAACAACAGCTGTTAATATTCCAAATAAAGAATCACAAAATCCCAAGATTAAAGTCAGAATGTCCAGCTGCAGGCTACTTGAAATTTTTATAGCCTCTTTACCAAGTGGCTACATATTCTCTTCCTGTTAGATAGCCATTCATTTTTTGTGTGCAATTTCTTCTATTTAACTTACAAAATTCCTCTTTGGGCCAACGAGACGGCTTAACGGAATAACAGCACTTGTCATCAAACCTGACAACCCCAGTCTGAATCCCAGAACCATGACAGAAATAAAGAAGCAACTCCTGCAAGTTGCACCACAAAGTGTGGTGCAAGTATGTGTGCACGTGCACACACACACACACACACACACACACACACACACACACACACACACTGAATACATGTAATTTTAAAAAAGAAAGTTCATCCTTGTAGAAATGAATCTCTGGTCTTCCATGTACTAGTCCTTTTCCCAAACTCATCCAAACTTCTTACTCAAATCAACCACAACTTTTGAGTGACTCTTTAGTTGCGGTTTCTGCTGACAGGATGCCTCACTCACTATCTGATGCAATTTGTGCTTATTCCATGGCAGATGAAATAAAGTTTCTGTACCATTAAATTAAGAATTCTTATATTTTATTTATAAGCTTTTATAATCCCACACAAAGATTTATTGTGGAGCATTTAAATCTGGCAGGGCAGAATGGCAGAAAAAGGAATGTGATCATAATTTTGTTGAACTGTAATTTTGTTAAATGCTTAACTGTATTATCATTAGCTTGATATGTTGAGTTTAGTAACCATATTTAAATTAAAGAAGCGGTTTTGCTTTCTCTGTGCGTTATTCAGAACCTCAGCCCTCTGGAGTGGTAAATAGTTCTCTTCTAAATAAAAAACATGCCATATGACAGGCTCCACTTAAATATGTGTGCCCCTGCTACCTAAGAACTTCCCTGTAAACATTTGTCTCATAGACTAGAACTTGACCGGTGGCCCAGGATGATGCCTAAGACATCAGGAGCTAGTGTTGAACCAACTTATACCAATGTGAACTTTCAAAGATCTGGATCCAATGACATTAAAATGAAGGCAACAACTACCCAAACAAATTGGGTTAATATCAGATAGAAACATTTTCTTGGTCTTTTTTTCTTGACATAGATACTTTTGCATTTATCATCTAAATGTCACATTTCAACATTTGTTATTAGTGTGATCATTCAGGTAGACCAGCCAGGGAAATATATAATATACTAATCACAGAAAAAAAACCAGTATTATATCCTGGCATAAAAGGTAACTGGCATCCATTGTAAGTTATGGTCAAGTTTGGTTATAATGTAGGAAATAGTCCCTTCTGATACGTACTTTTTCCTGGGGTTGAATGAGGGGTCAACATTCAACTCTATTTCCTCTGAGGCTTCCAAAGTTTTTCTTAGTCATGGATATTCTTTTCCAAAGGCACAACATAATCAATCAATCTCTCTCTCTCTCTCTCTCTCTCTCTCTCTCTCTCTCTCTCTCTCTCTCTCCCCCTCCCTCCTCTCATAAGCAGTCTATCAAGGTATTTTGCCACACCTCCTTCACCCCTGGTTCTAATTAGTCTCCTACCAGCAGTAATGACATCTTCAACATTCAAATTAACTCTTCAGATTTCAAAAAAGTGCAGCAAAGAAATATATGAGTCATCAGTGTTTACTTTATAAAAGACTGTGAACTATGATATTCATTCTCTGACAACCAAAATTTAAGCCCATGGAGGAATATATATGTAGATATATAGATATATAGATATATATAGATATGCTTTATTAATAAGGGGCTGAATGGTTGACATTTGAACTTCAGTAGTATCTGTCTTAAAATATGATAATTGTAATATGGATAAATATATATCTATCTAATCATATCATTAAGCTTTCTATGTTTAATCCCATGGTAACTGCAGATAAAATATACCAACAGTATTTTATAATTTGAAAGCAGGAAAACAATTATTAAAAATGATGAGCAAATCACTGCACACTGCTGGTGCTGTGTTTAGACAGCACCCTGTCTGAGCACTGGAAGAATTCTAACTATCTGCTTCTGCTCATTAATTGTGGGAGCTTAACAACCTGCCAGGCATTGTATGGCTGCCAGTCCACTGGTGGAATTCTGAGTTAGTCCTCAATAAACCACAGCCAACTGATTGTTAAGCATAAGTACATGCCTAGGCTTATAACACATTTAAAAGGCCACAGAATGTCATTCTTCTTATCAAGTAAGTAAATAAAATGAAATATAAAATGATGAATCTGCCTGTATTATGTGTCTTTATACCAACGCAGTTATGAACTACAATGTTTGGGGTTTTTTGGTTAAGGAAACAGAGCCTCCAAATCTTAGGGTAGTCTGTGATAAACTCTAGGTAGTAGAAGTCATGGAGAGAAAATTTTAATGCCCTTTTTGGTGGTTTCCCTAGGAATGGTTCCCAAAGGCTCACATACTTGAACACTTATTCCCTAGTTGGTGGTTCTGCTTTGGGAAGGTTTAGGAGGTGTGGCCTTGTTGGAAGAAGTGTGTGCCTGCCTACCTGCTTCTAGGCTTCCTGCCATAATAGCCTTGGAATCATTTACACACAAACAACAAACACAGGCTCAGCAGGTTGTATTCATATATTTGAGTATGTATTCAGGCACACACATGCGTGTGGGCACACATGTAACAATAATAATCAAAGAGAAAGAAGCTACCATTTGAGAATGAGGGGACAGACAAAGTAGGGGTTGAAGGAAGGGAACATAGGAGAGGCTGGAAGAAAGAAAAGGAAGTGATGTAATTGTATTTAAATTTAAATTATATTTAAAAATAGAATACTAGCATTTTAAAAAATGGGCAGTAACTCTACATGGGCATTTTTAAAAAGACATACAAATAGCTAACATGTATGAAAAATATGGAACATCACTAATTATCAGGAAAATGCAAATCAAAACCACATGAAGTATCATCTCATCCTAGTCAATATTATCAAGAAGACCAGAGAGGGCCTGACAAAATGTCTTAGTGGGTAAAGGAGCTTGCTGCTAAGCTTGATGACCTGAGTTTAATTGCTGGACCTCAGATGTTAGAAGAGAACCAACTCCTGCAAGTTATACTCTGACCTTCATACATGTACTGTGGGTGTGATGTGTGTGCACACACACAAATAAATAAATGCAAAATCTTTCCAAAAAGATCAAAGAAGGCCTCAGAGTGATATGGATGCCCAGCCTCTCAGGAGGCTGAGGCAGGAGATTTACAGTGTTGTCAATCAAGAATATAGCAAAAGGGAACCACTATCCACTGTTGGTGAAAAAATAGTAAAGCCAGTATGGAAAACAGTATGGGGGTTCTTTAAAAAAAAATAAAAAATACAACTATGATATGATACAGCAATACCACTACTGGGTATTTGCCCAAAGGAAATTAAATCAGTATGTCAAAGACATTATTCACAGTCACGAAGAACTAGAAACAGCTGAAGTATTCATCAATTGATGAATGGATAACGTGTGGTATACACACACAATGTAATACTGTATAGCTATAAAGAGAATGACACTATGCCATTTGCAATTCCATGAACAGAACTGGAAATCATTATGTTAAGTGAAACAAGTCAGATGAGAATCACAGGATCTTACTCATGTGAAATCTGAAACGGCTGAGCTCACAGAAGTTGAGAGTAGAATGGTGGTGACGAGAGGAGGCTGGTAAGAGCAGAGAGGAGAACCAGCTATGGTGGCTCACATCTATTATCCCGATACTCAAGAGGCTGAACCAGGATTGCTCGAAGTTCAATGTCAGCTTGAGCTACATAATGAGAATTAGGCTAGCCTGGGCTACACTACAATGCAAGACTCTTGTCTCTGTTTCTCTATCTGTCATGCACACACAAAGAAAAAAGAAGTAGAAGAGAAGGAGGGAAGGGGAAAGTTTATGAATGGGCACTAATTTATGCCTAGACAGGAACAAGGGGCTCAGGGACACCTAGAAAAAGCCTTTGGAAATTCTTCACTACAAAGAAATCACAAATGTTTGAGAGATAAATATGATTAAACTTATTTAAACGTAATATATACATGTATAAACATTTCACGGTACCTTACTGATATGTACAAATTTTATATCTTTCTCAGTTAAGATTTTAAAAGAGAAAGATGCAGGTTAAAAAAAGGCAAGAAAAGAGGGTTGATGACACATTTCTTCAAAGAAGATACACAAAAAAGCCAACAAGTTCAAAAGAAATACAACAAAAACAAGCAAGTAGCCAGAAAAATCTATGAATGGGCATAGAGAAAATACAGATCAAGGCCACAGGGAGCTAGCTCTTCACACCCACTTCCATGGCTGCTATTCAAATCAACACACACACACACACACCCCAACCCAAAGAAGTAAGAGGAAAACATAAAATAACAAGGCCTAACACTTAGAGCACTACACTGTTGGTGGGAAAGTTAAATGGTGCTGTTCTCCCAGAAAACAGCACAATACCTCCACCAAAACTGAAGAGAAAATTGCTGTATGACCCAAAGGAAGTGGAGACAAGAACTCACAGATGTGTATATGCCCCTCTTCATAACAGTATTACCTGCAGTAGCAAAAGTGGAAGCAACCAAAATGTCTAATGGCAGTTGAAGGGATGGGTAAACCATATCATACACAGTCAATGGAGCATTACCCAGTGTTAAAAGAAAGAAAACTGACTTGTCCTCCAACATGAATGAAACTTCAGGATGTTGTGCTAAGTGAGATAAGTTACTCATGAAAAGACACCTGCTGTGAGTCTACTTACATGAGCCATCTAATTCACAGGAACAGAATGGTAGTGGCTGTCAATGGGTAGGCAAGACAGGAAGATGAAGATTTTGTGGGTTTTTTTTTTAAATGGATGTACTTACAGTTTTCTAAGATAAAAGGGTCTGGATGGAGTCTTGTTCAACCCTGTGTATACACTTAAGACTAATAAATGCGAACTTCAAATGGTTGTGACAGTAAATTGGATGTGTATTTCACAACAATTTTTATAAAGGTCAGACTCAAATTAAGACATGATGGAAAAAGGACAAATACTATAGAATTGTATCACATGAAATATATAGAATATACAAATTCATAGAGACAGAAAGATTAGATGTTATCTCAAGATGGAGAAGAAAGGAATATAGAGCAGCAATTTCCTAAGTACAAAATTTCTGTTTTGTGTGATGGAACAAACCCCACAAATGGACAGTAGTATCAGGACATAATATCATGAATGTATAAATCAATACAATTAATGTAATTAATGAATATCATAAATATAGTTATTGGGGCTGGAGAGATGGCTCAGAGGTTGAGAGCGGCTGCTCTTCCAGAGGTCCTGAGTTCAATTCCCAGCAACCACATGGTGGCTCTCAACCATCTGTAATGAGATCTGGTGCCCTCTTCTGGCCTGCACAATACATGCTGTATACATAATAAATAAATAAATAAATCTTTAAAATAAATAAATATAGTTATTGAATGAATACTGCGGATTTAATCAATGAATACCACAAATATAATTAATGTCATGAGTATAATTAATGAATATCATGAGTGTAATTAATATCTTGAATTTGAAAAAAAAAAGAGCATGATGGAATACAACGATTAACTTACACAGATATAAACAGAGGCCCAGTGCTTTATAAGGGCTGGCATGTGAAAGTCAGACCCCAGGCACTGACCAAAGGCTCAGGCTTCCTGTATGAAGCTCAAGTCCCACTACTGTGCTGTTCTTGGCACGTTCTGTGGTTGCTCTCTGAGCTAATCCTACGGTGTCATGAACATTCCTATACTGCAGCCCAAGCCAAAGAAAAGCTGTGTCCACTCAAATGGTAAGGGCTTAAAGCACAAGATAGTGTGCCATAACCCCCTCCACCTAAGACCTTGGCCTCTCAGCCACTCTTACTCACGGTACCTATATCTACATTCTAAAGCACTTGGTCTAGAACATGCCAGGAGACTTAGAATATCATATAATTCCCCAACATGATGGGTTCCTCATCTTATTTGTAAGTTATTTACTGTACTTCATACTTCTTCAATTTGTTTTATTTTTCACAGAATTTGATGGAAGGGATAAGAACTCCAAGTCAAATGAATAAAGTGAAACATTTTCTTTCCAATTTATTTCTGCAGGACATGGAGGTGTGCTGACTTCCCTGCATGAAAGACAGATGACTGGTTTCATTGGACAGGACTTTAGAGATAGCTTTTGAGAGTTAACCCTGGAGTCCTACTGGGCAACAGGCATTAAAAAATACTAAGAGAATTAACTACAGTCTATTTGAGTGAAAGACATTAGCTTAACTATTTGAAGTAAATGAGATTTGAACACTCAAGAAGGCAAAAACCATCCCCAAACAAAAGCAGAGTGCTGAAGTTTCTTAGGAATTCTAGCGGTTGCTCTATTAAAAGAGAAAGCGCTGACTTCCCTTATAACCTGACATCTCTTCTATGTAGAGAGCCAGTGTGTGAAAGTGGCTTGCAAATCACAGTGACAACACAGAGATACTAACAAGCAGAACAGTGAAACAAAGGGGGATGGCCGCCATCCCATCCCCAAATATGTCACTAAGAGATTAGGAAAACTCAAGCAAGGGAGGGTAAGTGGTTTTGGAGAGGGGCTGAATCAAACTTTAAGAGTTTCATGTAAATTCTGAGATTTATTCTGAAAATCTGAAACATATATATATATATATATATATATATATATATATATATATATATATATATATATGTTAGGTATTTCAGTTTCTTCAGTTAAAATCTTTTAACTATAAAATGTGCAAAAGTATCAGAAACACAAAGAATGCTTTTACAAAAGAGAACACCTGTAAAATCAGAAATAACTTCTGATGGTGTAATCCAACATTCCTAAAAAAAAATTACTAAATCTTGGATGTCAAGTTGTGTTTTTTCCCTATTCCTGTTCTCCCCCTGGTGGCTATGACAAGAAGAGGCTGAGGGCCCCTGGTAGAAAAGGAACAAGGGAGAGAAGGGAAGGTGGGAAGGGAGGAGGCCTGGGTGATGAACTGATCACCTCTCACTTTCACATCAGCACTAATAACCACGGTAAGCAGGCCTACCTGATCTCCGTGGTTCGGGATGTTGGCAGAAAATACGTGGAAAGCTGGGAAGGAGTGATTGCCAATTACCCCATCATTAAATTTTCTGTGGCACTGTTAAAGGAAATTGAAAGAGCAGGTCTGATACATGCCTTTGGCTAAACCAACTGGAAGACAGAAGAAAAGAGAACAGACTTTTTCCAATCCTTGAAGAGTCAGCCTTCCAGGATGTAAAGCAGGAAGGCTAATCTGTCTAGGCAAGCAAAGTACATCTAGCATAGGGTCTTCTCCTCTTCTGGGGAGCAGACTCTATACTACCATTTCTTAGTCTTACTATATGGGCCTGTTCCCCTCAAAATGTTCCCAAAAGGTTAGGTCCTGATGTCTTACTCTTTTCCCATTATACTGCCATTCTGATTTCTCTATATTTATTAACTGAACTCTTGCCCTTAATGGCCTTAGGCTCTGGATCTGAATTGAAGGCTTTTCATCCTGGGGACCAGGTATATCTGGTAAAATCTCTAACTTTCCTGTTCTCTTTGTAATTAGGAGGGCACAATGGAATTCCTGGTTCCAAAGTGGCAGAGATTTTTTCCAAAGAATTATTTTGTTTAGAGAGGCTACCATTGTACACATTTTTATCCTTTAGCAAAGCCTGCACAAATTACCCAAAAGGAAAGGCATTGATATTGAGAATCATTAAATATGAAAGTAAAAAGGTGCTGTAGAAGTGTGGTCTGCAATGGTGAAATGCTGGAACTTCACCAAGCAGCAGTGGTTGCTATGTGGTCCAAGCCAGTGCCTGTGGAAGTTGAGGGCATCAGATCACCTGGAATTGAAGTTACAAAGCCATGGTGTGGGTTCTGGAAACTGAACCTAGATTTTCTGCAAGAGTAGCAAGTGCTTTTAACTGCTAACCCATCTCCCTCTGTGCATTTTTAACATATGTATTTGCTTGTAGATTATCTCTGGGCAAATAGTTATGGAAATGACAACAGAGAGACAGAAGTAGACAGGAATCTATTCTGCATACTTGAAACTTTTGAATATTGCACTATTTGATAATGTTCAACAGACAGAGACCTTAGGAACATGCATGTAGGCAAGCAAAACTAGGAAAAACTCCATACCAAGAAACTGAGTGTATTAGTAAAAGAGACTATGGATGGATTTTTACAGTATTTAGGGTTCTGCTCAATGACTGGGGTGTTTAAGGGGAGGTAAGCATCAACAGTGAAAAGAATGTTAGCAATTCACTCTGGAGACAATGAGAAACAAAGCAGTACTGGGCACTCACGTTAAATAAACATTAAGGACTGGAAAAAAGAAGGTCGATAGATACCACAAGGACTTAGGGAAACATTGTTTCTGATGGTCTTGCCATTTGCCCTGTATGCGTATTAGGAACATCACAGACCGATTATAGTGAGCGCCTCACTTTCTGGTTCGTCAACCTGTGTATGTTAAAAAAACAAAACAAAACAAACCAGAAATTAAAATAGAATGAAAATAAACATTCTCCACGTACTTCTTAAACGTAGACCACCAATTCCTTTGTATATAACAAGTATTTTTTTTTTTCCTTTTCAGCCCAAATTTCTGCATTTCCACTCTCCATCGGGAGCTTACAGCTTTTGCACGTGTTTCAATTTCTGTAACTTTTCTGTGGCAGCTAAGTGCACAGGGAAAAAGCACACCTTGCCCGTAAATAACCCTTTACAGAGATCTGTGGTAGAAAGAATATTTGGAGCTAGAAAGAACTTCAAGAAAATGATAGCAGACGTCTGACATGTTAGCGACAGACCCAGGACTCAACACTTGAGATCTTCGTCCCTCTCAGTCTCATCCTCCTTTACTCCCATGAGGTGTCATGCATCTTCTAGGTGCCACAACAACATACACTCCTCCACCTTTACAACCTGGGCCCCTGCAGATGCTCCTTTGGAGTCGGAGCATGTCGCCTTTGGAGCCGGAGCACCGGAGCGTGCCCAGCGTCGCTCTGCGTCCCTTCTGATTGGTGAGCTGTCCTAACTTCTTCTCTCCGGGGGCGTGCACAGCTCGGGGCTGGATCCGGCTCGCGGTGATGACGACATTGTTCAGCGCCGGCGGCGGCCGCCGCAGAGGCCGTACGGCTGGGGAGGGCTTCCGGGCCGTGGGCCTGACTCCTCAGAGCTGCTGTCATGGCGGGTGCGCTGTGGGGCTGCTTTTCCATCCTGCTGCTGTTACTATCAGGAGATGCCCACGGCTCGGAGGTGCCTGGGGCTGCTGCCGAGGGCCCGGGAGGTGGTGGGGTCGGCCTGGGAGATCGTTTCAAGATCGAGGGACGTGCGGTTGTTCCCGGGGTGAAACCTCAGGACTGGATCTCCGCGGCCCGAGTGCTGGTCGACGGAGAAGAGCACGTCGGCTTCCTTAAGTGAGCATCCTGAGGGCAGCAGGAGAGCGGTTGGGTGGACGCTGGAAGGGTATCCAGCTAGGACAGCACAGTGTCAGGACCGACAGTGTAGCTGTCACAAACTGAAGGCACAGGCGCCACTAACGGTCTCTGCTGGGAGACGTTTGAGAGGCAGTCAGATACTTCAGCAGCGAGGCTGGAGGACAGTGGTCCCAGGCCCGAAAGATTCGGGTCATTTTTTGTATTCCCATTTTGTCCCCCGTGCGGCGCGTGACACTTGGACCCAGGGGACTGGTGGACCCTTGTTTGTTTGTTGGATATTTTGCCCCTTTGCGTCTTGTCTAGTTTCTCTGGAACCTAGTTGCATTCTACATGTCAGTCTTCTGGTAGCTTGGTGTTGTGTAGAAAGATGCTAAACAAGTGGGAATTGTTAAAGCCCAAAGGACTCCCACTGGTGACACAGACTGGAAGGCTGATGTTCCTGCTTCTAAAATTAATAGGCCCAAAAGTCCCTAATCAAAGAGCTTTTTTTAATCCCCCCCTTTGGACCAAGATTGTGATTATTGTTCTTTTTACACTTGAATTCGTCGAGGGATTTGTGATATCGCAGTCGTCCTTTATGTTAGACTAGGGTTTCTCAAGATTCCTTACACATACCTGATCTTGTTCCTAGGAGAAACAGAATTGTTCTTTATATTGGAAGGTGGGGTGGTTGTATTAGTGTTTTGGTTTGTCAGCAATCTGTTTTCACCCTTTTAAGCATGAATATGATGTTTTAAATTTTGCCATCAGTATTTGGAGTTGAAACTATGATTGAAAGAAAATATTTTTTTGCTGGTTTTGTAAACCAACTCGTGATATCTGAAAACCGTACGTCTTAAGTGCAGACATTTAAGTTTGAACTGAAGATTTCTGCAGATTGTTGAGGTTCCCTCATGGGAAATTCAACCTCAGATTAATAAATAACAACAAACTGACAACCAATATTTTAATGTTATCTGGAACTGGAGTATTGTTTAAGAGTTTATCCTAATTAATGATGTGTTAATAATGAAATCCCTCTGGGTGGTGATGGTGCACACCTTTAATCCCAGCATTCGGGAGGCACAGGCAGGCGTATCTCTGTGCATTCCAGGACAGCCAAGGCTACATAAAGAAACCCTGTCTCAGAAAAAAAAAACCAAAAATAATAATAGTAATAATAAAATCCCATTAAGGTTTGGAAGATAAGACTTAATTGAGAATTTAACTTCTGCAGTATATAGCACTTTTGAAAACTACTTATTTTTACTTTAAAATTATTTTTAAAATTAATATATTATATATTGTTATATATTATTCTTGCATAGTGACCCATGCCTATTATCTCAGCTACTCATGAAGTAGAAGCAGAAGGATTATAAGTTAAAGGACATTATGAGCAACTTAGTTGAGACCCTGTCTCAAAAAAAAAGCTAGTGATACAGTTTTGTGGTGGCACTGGGGTGACTCCCAAGTATAAATAAATAAATGTTTGAGGATAATATAAACAAGATGTTTTCTTTTAAAATGTTGCAACTGAAAGATAGCAACCCTTATTGTTTTATATGACTTGTCTTTAAGAGTAAAGCACATGAGACTGTAATTCTCATTTAAGATTTATGAAAAATTTTTATACTACTTTGGTTTTTTTTTTTCTTTCAGTTTTTTGAGACATGATTTTTCTGTGTAGCCCTGGCTGCCCTAAAATTTACTCTGTAGATCAGGCTGGCCTCAAACTCAGAGATCCGAATGCCTCTGCCTCCCGAGTGCTGGGATTAAAGGAGTGTACCACCACCACCTGGCTTCTACTTTATGTTCTTATATTCATATAGAAGGGTTGATTGAGAATTTGTGTGACTTTTATGGTAATAGTCTTGTTGTAAGTAGGATAAGTAATTTGTCTTATAGCTGTTTTGAACAGCCAGCGTACAAGTTTGACTATATTTTTTGTCTTGTGGGGAGGTGGCTTGGGACTTTGCTAATGGAGATGAGAGGACTTGGGCTTGAAGAGTACACAAGCCTTTATATATATATAAAATGTCATAATGTGTATATAAACCACAACTCACTTATCCAGTCTTCTAGCTTTGGACAGTTAGGGAATTGTCAGTTTTCTGGTTTTGTTTTGTTTTGATATCACAAGGTTGTATACTACTTAATTTTGATTGTTATGAATGTGTAGTTTCACTGTGGTTCATACTACCTTAACACTCATGTCCTCCTGGGTTCACTACCTGATTACAGGTGTCTGCTATCATGCCTAGCTTTGCTTTTTCTTTGGGTGATTCTGATACTGTTTGTGTCAAATAGTCATGTTTTGAAATTGATTCTGTCAGAGTCCATCAAGAAGCAGATGACTGGATGTGATGCACACACTAATGTCATAGCTCTTGAGAGGGTGGGGCAGTAGCATCGTGAATCTGAGGCCATCCTGAGTTGTATAGCAAGACTTTGTCTCCAAAACCAAAAGAGCAGAATATGCACTGAAATTGGAATCGTTTACACAAGTTTAATCTAAGGATTCAAACAGTATAACCGTCAAGGTATAGAGGAACAGTCAGAGTGTAGCACCTGGAGCTTACAGCCTCAACACTGTTTATCCAGGAATATGTGAAAGCAAAACAAGGAAACTGTTGCCACCTCTGAGCTGGAGGGAGGAGGAGGGGAAAGGCTCCTGGAGACTTGGAAGTGTGCATGGGGTGAGGCGGCTTGTATGTAGCCATGGTCCTGAGCAGAGCCAGTTAGAGATGGCATGTCAGTGATAAAGCTGTGGGAAATATACTAAAGTAATTTTCTTCCCTTCCCGTAGACATGAAAGAAAGGTAGAGTGGGTCTGGGGGATGTGAGCGGAATATGGCTGTGACATCTGTCATCTCATTGATTATCAGGGTTGATTTGGCTAGACAAATGTCTCCTAACCACATGCATCCCTCCTGAAGCTGCTAGAACCACCAAAAAACCTCTCAAGGTACATTTGAGATTGGGTCCTGGGGCGCAAATAGGCGTCCAGCTGAAGAATAAGGCATTTTAATGCTTATATTTCAGTTCTGCTTTACCTTAGTATATGCTTTCAATGACAAGAAACACTTTTCATCTTATTTTTTTATGTCTTTTTTCCTTGAAATAGCAGTTTTTCATTTCTAGACAGGTTAATTTTGACTTGCAAGAAGAAATTACCCCCTTTTGGTTGGATGATTTTTTTTTTTAGCCTAGTAGGATTAGAGGAAATACAGAAAGAAAAGATGGATGGCTTTAACTACTAAATTGTAGGTTTCTATATAACCAGCCAAAAGTAACTAAAGTAAATGGGTCTGTGTATAATAAATGGAACAATTATTATTGAAATATGTTTGTATGGAAAAGAAGGTCAACAAAATACAAATTAAAACTAGAATAGAACACTTTTTTAACTAATAAGAATATATTGAAGGAATTTAATAAAATTGGGACCCTTCTATTGTATAATATACATTGATAATTTTTCTTCAGTGAAGACAGGGCTTCACAGTAGGAGCTGCTCTTTGTCACTGTCATCTGTATCTGCAGCAGGAAGCTCTGTTACTCTGGCTTAGGCTCATCTATTTTCAGAACTCTTAAAATTCTGCAACATAAAATATAAGACCTACTTTTGACATTTTTTTTTGTTTATTTGGGAAGAGCGGCAGAAACTATGTAGCCCAAGCTGGCCATGAATTCATTAGGTAGTTGAGGCTGGCTTCAAACTGGCAGTGATCCTCCTGCTTCAGTCTCCTGAGTTTTATGATTACAGGAATAAGTTGTTATACCTGCATTTTCTGTTTTGGTTAGCTGCTTCTAATTGTTCATGTCTTTGTTTGTTTATGACAGGATTTCCCACTGTAGTTCAGGCTATCTTGAAACTTACTTATAGCCCAGGCTGGCCTCGAACCCATGGTGATCCTCCTGCTTAAGCCTCCTGGGTACTGGAATCTGGTTTTCTTCTGATGTTTTTTGAGAACTGTTTGGGAAATAAACTAGTGCTTTCAAACAGGGAAAAACTAAGGTACTGGTGAGAAGTAACTAAGTATGATTTTCCTTTTTCCAGGACAGATGGGAGCTTTGTGGTTCATGATATTCCCTCTGGCTCATATGTGGTGGAAGTTATTTCTCCAGCTTACAAGTTTGATCCTGTCCGAGTCGATATCACTTCAAAAGGAAAAATGAGGTGAGGATACATGATTTCTTTTTTTTTTTTTTTTTTTGGAGAGACATTATTTTTATTTATATACATCATTGTCTATATGCATAATTCTCTAGATTATAAGAAACAAACTATTAAAAGTAGCACATTTAGTATAACATGGGTCATAAAATTCATACAAAAATATGTTGTACTTTTGTATGGTACATTGAGAATTCAGAAGTTAAAATATCTTAAATTTCCATTTATGTAGGAATAAATCTAACAAAATCCATGAAAGAAAATCAGGGATGACCTAAGTAGAGTGAAAACCATCATTCATGAGGTAAAAGGATATTATTGTTAATGCCACACAAATATAAATTCAATCAGCACTTGTTGCTGTTCCAGAGTTCCTGAGTACAGTTCAGTACAGTTCAGAACCCATGTCTTGTGG